TCTTCACCAGAGTGTGTGATTCGCATCTCCCACCTAACATTTCCAAACCTGGAAACCCTAATTCCTGCCACTCCCAACCTGCTCTGTCTGTTGACTTCCTCATTTCAGCAAATGAAGACTCCATCCTTGGTCAATTCAGTCCAAAAACCTTGGTCACCGTTGGTTTTATTCACTTTGTCTCCTACCGCATATCCAGTCTGTCTGATAATACTGTTGATTCTGCCTTCAAAATAGAACCAGCATTCAGCCGTTCTTCCCCCCTTCATTGTGATTTATCCTAGTCCACGCTGTCATCAGCTCTCCTGGATTATTGTAGTAGCACAGTGGCTCTTGATGGAGGGTTATGTTTCACCCCCACAAGAGGATATGTGTCAATGAACAGAGATTTTTTTTATTGTCGTGACTTGAGAAGGGAAGTTTGCAACTAGTATGGGGTAGAGACAACAGAAGTGCTGCGAATATCCTACGATGCACAGGATATGCCCCCACACAACACAGGAACATCCAGTCCGAAATGTCAATAGCAGTCACTGCACTGCTCTTAAGGAACCCTGCAATAGCAGCTCTCACGTTTGCCACCCGGAATTCGCTATGCTAATCACTCTCCTGCTCCAAATCCTCCAATGCCTTCCCATTGTACTTATAATCCTTACCATACCTACAAGGCCCTAGGTCTCATTCCATCGCTGACTACTTGTTCACAGCCATGGTGACGTCTCACACATCTGGCATGCTCTTGCCTCAGGGCATTTGCACTTGTAACAGTACACAGTTGATGCTCAGCTAAGCTTTATTGATCACCAGTTTTTCAAGTGATAGGCTGACCTGCACATCAAATAAAGTTAAATACAGTGCCTTAACTAGCATACATTGGCAAAATCAGTAAACGCCTTCTAACATTGCAGAAGACAAAATAATGCTAAATATTAAAGTAATGAATTAATGCACTAAGTTTTAAAGTTATACATTTTATTGTAATTTGTAATGATAATGAAATTGATTATAAAAGCTATCATTGATAATGACAATATATTCGTTATGACCTTTAATCTTCAGAAGACCTCCCTGTAGCAAGAAAACATTATTTCACTTTTTTGTACAGAACAACCTTATTTTTGCACATAGTTTGGACCTGGAATTGTCTCACATGTGAAACTCAGTGTGACAGGCCTCAGGCCTCAGGTTCTTCCATGGGAGAGCAGGTGGAGCATAGAACGCCCTACATCAGCAGATTTCCATTGGTTCCACCATTGCTATGAAATTTGCTAAAATCCACTGACCCCCTACCTGACTCTCCAAGGCTGGATTCCAGATTTGGGCATATGTGACAAGGACCAAAAAGACTCTGTTATTAATTCAGTGTATATGTAAAATATAAACGCTGAATACACAAGTAATTTCCTATAGTATGAATGTAATTTGAAGTTGATGATCAATTTGCCCAGACAGAAATAGTGAAGTCCCTTTGCTAACCTGAACAATAATTTCTTTCCAGTCACTCCATCATCTATTCCACCAACATTTCTAGAGACTACTTTGCTTCAGGCTCAGTGTTTGGTGTTAGAAGTAGAAAGATGGATGAGATCTGAGCAGAGATCTGTGCAAGAATGAAAGGCTGTTTGCACTGACAATGACAATAATTCACAAATTCCCTGCAATATAGAGATTCAAAGTTTGTTTTAAAATTTTGTGAATCCTTTACTTTGAGCAGAATTTTCAAGAAGAAAATATAAACAGTATTTTTTTAAATGTAAAGTTATTGCATTATAATATTTTTCTATTTTCTTTCTGAGAGGTTAGAAGCATTTATTGTGTACAATATAAAAACAAATGTTGGAATCATGATTCTTAGAATGGCAAGAATTTGAATCATTTGGTTAAATTATAGGATACAATACATTTTATATTTGAGAGAAATGAGCCTTAGAAAGATTTACCTACAGTTGGTGGTTTGGATGGCTTCCCCATGAAAAAAATATTAACAGTTTTCTCAGGTAACATTTTCAAGAGTTAAAATATAATCTGATGATAGATAGATAGGTAGATAGATAGATAATTGATAGATAGATATAACTAAATATAAATCATAGATTTATTTCTATTGTATATTTCACCAGCAAATTAAGATTTATTTTTTCCTTGTCTTTACCTTTCCCATCACTAACTTGTTACTTATCAAGTCAGTTACACTGTTTTTCTAATAAAAATGTATTAATGCAGTCATATCTATGAATCTGCCTGAAGGATAACTCCAGAGAATCAGAATATTATATGTATGAGCGTACCACATATTGAGGTAGCAAGATATAATGAAGCTTTAACTGTTCATTTGGTAAATATTTGAAAAGCCTAAGAATGACTATTCACCAAAATTATGCATTTGTCAGCTTTCCATTATATCATATCATAAAAGTTTTATTAGCAATACTACCACTTCTGTGCAAAATTACAAAATACGAAATGCATCCAGATGGTGTGTTTAAATGAAATCATACAATCTTCCTTGTCAACAGGCACACAGAACTCGGCATTTCATCATGAAAGTGGGCAGACACACAGGCAGGGTGCAGGAGGGACTGAGGCGAATGAGACAGCAAAGGAAGAAAAAGAGAATGAATCAGGCACGGAGGCCGAGCACACCCTGCCAGAGGTTGGCAGCGGGAGCTCTGAGAACCAGTATGATGACTTGTATATGTTCATTCCTGGAGACAATCCAGAAAGTAACCCACAAGAGTCACTCATGAGCATCAGACCACCTCTTCCCCCACCGCGACCTGTAGCTGCTGCCTTCCAACTAGAAAAACCTCATTTCACTTTGCAAGGTAAGGTTAAGGTTAAAACAACAACAGCAATAACCTTTGACAGACTTACATAGCATATAGTGCAGTGACAAATCCATACAGGGACGATTAGCTTTTAATACCGAGAGCAACTTTCCTCCTGCTCTTTAAGTAGAGCTAAGGAAATCAGGCAGGCAAAAGATATCTGTCTTTTTCTCTCTCNCTCTCTTCCTTCCTTCCTTCCTTCCTTCCTTCCTTCCTTCCTTCCTTCCTTCCTTCCTTCCTTCCTTCCTTCCTTCCTTCCTCCCCCCCTTTCTTTTCTCTCCTTCTCTCCTTCCCTTCTTTTCTTCCTTCCTTCCTCCCTTCCTTCCTTCCTCCCTTCCTTCCTTTCTTCTTTCCTTCTGGAACAAAGTCTAATTATAGAACTTTAAGTAAATAAAGGAACAACACTAAAAAAACAACACTTGGAAGTAGTCTTTAAGTTCTTCACATGAAATAAACCTCAAATAACCTGTCAAAAAGTAAACAACAACTTTGCTTTTAAAAAATACTCTTAGTCTTCTGGGAAAGGGGAAAGATTAATGTATTACAGATTTGAAAGTGTCCTTGGGTGCTTTACTCACTTGGTAGCTTCAAGGAAAGCAAATAGCAAAGGGTTTATTACACACTGCACTGAGACCAAAGTCTAAGAACTCGCTGTACATATATTGCTCAAGTGGAAGAGCCATGAAATGGCTGTGCTCACATTTGCTCCCAGATGCACGTAGGATTAAGGTGTGGACTGGGGAGTGGGGTAGGGAGCACCAACACGAGCTTTCAGATTGGCCTTCTTAGCCTGGCAACAGCCTGACCAGCTTCCAACTCCAGGTTCACTCTTACAGTCACTAATTACCCCTTACCTCATTGATCACTATATTATATTTATTGGGTTGTCGGAAAAGTCATGACGCATTTTTGCAACTAAAAACAAAAAAAATACATCATGACTTTTCCGACAACCCAATACTTTCCAAATTCATGAAATGTTCTTACGAAGATATTTAAGAAGGAAAATGAAAGAAATGTCTATTATCAAAACCCCTTTGATCACTATACTTTGGTTGTCAAGTCCTAAAAAGCTATAAAGTATATAAACACTGTTTCAAAAAGTAAACTTTGAAGCCATGACATTTAACATTTGTGTCCTTGAAGGCCCAGTCTCTATAAAGGCTCAAATCAATTAATATAAACCTGTATTAAGGTTATACACTTTATGTATAGATGGAAAGTGCAGCTTAATGGAAAGTATGGAAAACCTAATGGACACTCCTCTGATTCATTATCTCAATTAACAAATATTTATTGATTACTTACTATGTATCAAGCTCTTATAGACCATTGATATAGATCAATGAAGTAGGTGTATCAATACTGGGTAGGGACATAGATTAGTAGAACACTGACAACAAAATTCTGGTATATTTTTATCATTTTAACTGATGTGAATAATTCTGTATAATTACTAAAATGTATCCTTAAGAAGACAAAGTTGTCTAGTATCAGGTTAAATCTCTTAAAGGAGCTAATATTAAATCATATTTTTTCTAATGGAAAATTTTATATATGGTAGAATGGTTCAGAGGTCTAAAACTAATCTACAAGAGTATTCCCCTGATATCTAAGACCAGAAATATGATGCTGGCTAATATATCTTTTGAAAAGTGTCCAACGTAAAAACAAAATGAAACAAAAACCCACTCCTTTTATTTAAAAACTCTATTTTTATATTTCATATACAGTGTTACTTTTAATTTCATTTTTTCATAAGGCTGATATTGGCAGTAAATGGAAAATAAAATGTCATTTTTTTTAACTATTTAATGAAGGTTTTTGAAAGTTGGCCTGGAAGCTTCCACTTATTTTTGCCAGACTTTTGTATAGGTGCTTTGACCTAGCTCCCACAGACCCCCAAATTATGGAAAAAGAGAGGTTTCCTCATCAATACCCTAGCATCAAAATCCCCATGATGGGTTTATGCACATATTTATTGGAAAGAACAATAATATAGAATACAATAGAACACCTCCCTGTTTATAAAGAACACAATGTCTCTTCCATCTTTACAACAAACTGGCAAGGGAACCATCATGGTGACCCCTCTTTGACTCAGCCTCAAGACCAGATAGCCTGTTATTAGAATGTGTCAAATATTTCTCTGAACAGGTTTCCTTGGCTTTTAGGATTTTTCTCTTTGTTACATACTCTTGCCTCAATTATTTCAAAAATTGTATTTATATGAGCTATTTAGTTTAATCTTTATTTACCAAGGTACAACCTGAATTGAGAAACCTCACGTCCCACTCCGATATGAAAAGTATAATCTAATACATTGGGAAATGAAAAGTAAAACGTATCACTTCTAGTGCAAGCCCAACTTTAGAAAGTGCTAGGAAGGAGGTGGGTGGAGAAACAAAGAAAGATAACAGCTCAGGAAATGGGTTCGTAAAAGTGAGATAGTTGACACATTCCTCTAAAAATAAAACACTGTGAAAATGTTTCCCACACACTAACCTGGTTTCACCTGTGATGCTGTCAGTGAAACAGAAGTCATAAAGTCAAAAACCTCAATACCATATTATTCATAGGGGGAAAGGCAAGTCATAGGGTTTTAAAGTTAGTTCTAGGCATGTAGGCCTGAATACTTATCGGGTTAAACTAACTGAAACATTCAAACCTAAGACTGGTAGGAGCTCACCTTGGTCTCTCCTCATAAGCCCACCGCAAACAATTGCTGACTCTTCTTATAATAATATCCTTTTATCCTGCTCTACAACTTCTCTTCTCCTTAGCTCCTAAGTATTTCCACTAAAATATCCATAAGTACACTGAAGGGATTTTTTGGTCAGAGCCTCACCTAAGAGAAAGAAAAATTCTCCCTTAGTTCACACACATGAATCTCTCAGAACAACATAGAAAACCAATAATTTTCAGTCAGTAACTGAAATCCTTTCCATGTTATTGTTTTCATTAATACTTTAAGCAAAACGTTTGTCAAAGGGAAAAAAAACTTTTTAATTCTCATTGGTCTGTCAGAGAGCCAATAAAGTTATTTTCAACTTATTCATTAACCAAAGTACATGATATGTTTGCCTGTTTGCCTTCTAATTGACTACTACTAAAATATATTAATACATTTTTATAAAAATATGTAAAGACTTTACAAAGTATGAAAACCATAAAAGACTATTTATTAGTTTCATGTGAATGAACCTATAAGCCATTGATTACCCATGCCATCTTCTATGTCATGGACCCCACTTTCAGTGCCCTTTTCTAAGAATGAGGTTCATGTTGGCTTGTAGAAATCAAGACTTTGAAGGTCAGTTTCTCATAGTCAGAGTAAGACTTACTGTAAAAAAAACAAGTAATAGTGCTTTCAAGCTATTCCCCTGCCATTTTCAGAGAAATTGAATTGAGGCAGAATACCTAGTGCACACCCTATGAAAGGTAAAATGACTTCAAATGAAGAAAAAGGCATCTAAGAGAATTATGCTTGAAAAATTCTTAGATGTTTTTTCTTCATCAAGTTCTCAAAGCATTTGGGATTTGAGGCTTAATGTTATAATTTGATTTTCTAATATTAAATCATTCATAAACTATGTGGAAAATATGTATGTTTTGTAAGAAATCCATGTCTTAAACTGGTTTTTGTTAACAAAGTTAACAATTACAAATTGCAGGAGAATATGTTAGTAAATTACATGGTTCAATTTTCTCTCTTTGGAATTTGTGGTATAATACATAAATTATTTGGGGGTAAGTTCAGGCAAGTGACAGATGAACACCAATAAACCAATAATATTGCATATTATAGAAGAGTAACCACTATCTAATTATTTCATAAGCACAAAAGATGTTGGAAGGCCAAATGGAAAGAAGTCAAAATTGGTGTGATGCTGGTGCAAGACAAGAACCAGGAGGTGAATCCAAAGGAGAGGAAGAAAAAACAGAAGATGAAAGGGAGCAGGAGGAGGAGGAAGACCCGTACACGTTTACTGAGGTCGATGACAATGACTATGACATGATACTGGCCCATATGAGTACAAAGAAAAAACTTGGAGGTCGGTCTTTCATTATAAACAGACCTCCTGCCCCCACACCTCGACCTACAAATATCCCTCAGAAAGAGGAAACCACACCTTACATAGCTCAAGGTAATGTTTTTTGTTGCCGTTGTTCATGTGTGTGTTTGGGAATGGGGATTGTGCTCTTTTTTGGTAGGAACCAAAATGCCAAAGATGAAAAATATTTTTTCATGTCATAGGTGAATTGCATTGTCTTATTTTAAAATTTAGAAACACAATGACTAAAGAAAACAAGAATAATGGGTAGGGTTCTAGGTTCTAATTCTTCATTAAGAAGTATAATTTTGACAAACCATCCAAAGAACATGAAACCATAACATGTGGAAAAATGTTTGATACTTCTTCCATAATTCTACAAGAAGAAAGCTCAACTCCTATGAATAATGTGCAACAGAAGAAAAGAAGGTAGGTACTTTACTTCTTGCCCTTAACTTTACTTTTTGCCCCTAATCCATTTAAGATAACTATAAAAAGTTAAACAGTTTTGAATACTAGAATCTCAAATATGCAGCCCCATTTCCTCTGATAATTGCACTTCACTCCAATGATTAACATTCACTTCATCTATCACAGAATTTCCACTTCATTTTAGACTTCCATTCTTACTCATTCTCTACTAAGTTGGATCTAAATTTAAAAATAACAACTCCCTAGAACGTTTTGATATCTGTAGCCTCAACAGGATGTGTTGACTTTACCATTATTTCCTAACACCCTGTTTGGTTTGGTACATTCCATGAGTCTGTAGTGTCTAAGATATGACTTTTATTTATCAGTGTAATACACATAGATGGCCAGAACTAATACTGTTCAAGTTCTCCAAAAAATAAAACTTGCATTCTAGAAAATGAGAATATGAAATAAAACAATGTCTCCATCCTGGAGGAGTTTTAGGGCAACAGATATGCAATTAAATCCATAGAGTACAATGTGAGAATTATTAGAAAATTTTGAACAAAATGTTTGGAATCAAACAAAATGTTTGGAATCAAACAAAATGTTTGGATGATAACTGAACCTGAGGGGCAATAGGTTATGCATTTAAGCAATCTAAAACAAGTACTGAAACAGAACATTTAAATATATGTGTATATACCACAAATCTACCCAAAAGGAACACAGTTACTCATCTGTGCTTACTGTTTTCAAAAGAAACCATTCTGTTGCTAAGTGGTATGTATAGAGAGATTTGTATAAGAAAATTGAGCAAGTATATACAGTGATTTAGCAGTGTACAATACACTTACTTCACAGTGATCTGCTGCTGATAATATTCAAGAAACTATTAAAAATTAGGAAATGGTAGCAAATTAACAAATGTTGCAGCTAAAATAAAATGTCAACTGGAGCAATTGTCTAGATTATTAAGGGAGTCGATAAGCTGTAATTAGAAATTCTCAGATTGTTTATCATAGTGACCTCTCATTTTACTAGCTCTTTGATGAGGTTGCTACATACCAATAAATATTTTTTAAAGAGAGAAGATAGACATAACTCAATACAAGAATTTAGTTATATTCCAGAAGTTTTTGAAGAGACACATCATCTTCTGTGTCCTGATCACTGGGAACTCTCAGGACCACAAGAGACTTCCATGGCGTGTGGTTCTCCTCTTTGTGCTTAATCTTCTCATCCATCAGTTGGCTGTCAGAGTCTTGTTTTCCATGACTCTTTCTTGATTCTTTTTGGGTTTTTTTGTACCATTATTTTATCTTTCTTTGGTGGTAGTGGGGGCAGTACAATTCAATATCTTTGTTATTGTTTTTGTTTCACTTTGCTTTTATTTGTTTTTAAAATTTTGTGATTTTCATTTTTCTTCAAGTCTCATATTGTCTCTATTATCACACTGTTTTCTTGTGTTGTCTGAAATGCTTGATACTTCCATCCAAGAGCTGGCTATTCTTAGCTATGTTTTTGTGTTTCAGAACAACATACTAAAAACCTGAATGGAAACTCTGCTCGTTAACTTGTGGACTGCATTGTAGGGTAATGGGGAAATAAGGAGCACTTTCACTGAATTACTCCCCAAAATGTTATTGATGTAGATCTATTCTCCTATGCTTTTCATTTTTTCTGGAATAAAATCCAACTAACTCCAGTCTACATTTATGTATCTTGTTGCCCATAGTCTGTGCGCAGAGTGTGGGAAGAAGATGGGGAAATGTCACCATTTAGAATGCATACTTTCACTTGTCCTCCCTTCATTCATTCCAGTGCATAATTCCTGTCACCCACTGTGCCTCATGTCTAACAGCCAGAACCACGTCTGTTCAATTTCTCCAAATAATGAAATGTCCATCATGGATGGTTGCCTCATTTAATTGGAGAAGGAATTTGGGGTTATGACTGCTTTTCTCTTTGAACCAATCTTCATGTTAAATAGTAGAATTGAGATGGTTTTCCTCCTCATTCATGTATTTATTAATTATGTAAAGACTTATTGACTACCAAATAATAAAGTTTGTGCATTAATTATGTAAATCCCCTATATGACAATGATTCAGTTTTTCATATATGTATACATATATACCGGGGGTGCCAAAAAAATGTATACAAGTAGACACTTTGGTCAATGTTGCTCAGGCAGTAATTCATCGTAATCAGAAGTGTCTGGGCACTGATGGTAACCACTTTGAGCACCTCTTGTAGTTGCAGAAGTCAAACATAACCTGTATTCATCTTTTGTTATCAGTATATATTAAGTATTATAATTTTAATACAGTTTTTCTTTTTTAAAGTATGTATACATTTTTTGGCACCCTCTGTATGTATATATCCACACACAAACACACATACACGCATGCACAAAAACTAGATAGCATCTTAGAAATCTTGAGTTTCTAAGAAATTTTGGAGGCTATTTATCTCATCTACTCACCTCAAGCCTGACACCCTTCAAAATTTATAAGAAATCTTTCTGATTCAAAAACACAATCTAATTTATTCTCACAACATTTGTGTTATATGCAGACAGGTGCCACTGTTATAATGTATGGTTTTTGTTTTCTTTTTCTTTTCTTGTTTTCACTTAAGTACATAAAAGCAGTATGATTTTTTGCTCCACATTTTTTGCTCAAAAAAGCAGCAACAACTGAACTGTAAAGGAAGTTACCCCAGTCCCTTTTAATTATATCTTCCTTTTCTCTTTCACTGGAGTATACTTGCTTGTCTCTTCCTTTATGCTATTGATTATCGATTATTCTGTTCCCACATTAGGAAAACATTGCCTCCTCAGCTAATTCTTTCTTGATGTTCTTTGCATTTCACAGGGTAAAAGTCTTTCATCACATCTTTCCTTTTTTTAATTCTTCTAGCTCAGGCAAACCTATTAAATAGAATTGCCACCATTTCCCAGAAAGCTACCCATGCAATTAGAACATTAATTTGCCCCAATTCTTGCCAGAGCACAGAAGTGGTAGCAGAATGTTGGCACATCCAGGGTGTGTTAACGTACCCAAGAGAGAAGGATGTGGAGTAGGAACTGGGAGAAGAATTCAGGATGCAAATCCCCAATTTATTATTTCTGAAACTCAAGAAAGCACTGGCAAAGAGATGAGACAAAATAAACTAGAAAGATACAGGAAAATCATGTTCGCTTTTGTGAGATAATAGAAAAAATATATATTGGTTTCTACCCCTGCTTCCTGGCACAGAGCTCCAGAAAACCTTATAATTTCCTGGGTAATAAGGGTGTCTTTGTTTTAATAAGGTGACTCTGGGTGGGCTCCTGAATGGCATCTTAGTGAAGGCTAGTCACCAGAAAGACGAAGCTATGATTAAAAGCTTAGAATTTTCAGCCCCCCCATTCTCTTGAGTCAGGAGAAAGGCTAAAAATGGAGTGAATGATCAATCAAATGGGAGAAGCCTCCATAAAATCCCAAAAGGGGATTGAGAGCTTCCAGATTGGCAAACATATCCACAAGGGACGGTCACAGACCCCAACTCCACGGGGACAGAAGCTCCTGCTCTTGGGACCCGCCCAGACCTCACCTTATATATCTTTTCATCTATATCCTTTAATAAACATATAAATGTAAGTAAGTTATGTGAGCTGAGTTATGTGAGCTGCTCTAACAAATTAATCAAATCTGAGGAGGAGGTCATGGGAACCTCTGATTTCTAGCCAAATCTGACAGAAATTGTGGCTATCTGGGAATCTACTACTTGTGATTGGTACCTGGAGTAGAATGGAAGCAGTTTTGTGGGACTGCTGACACTATCTCCAAGCAGATAGTGTAAGAATTCAATTAAATGGAACTCAATTGTAACACAACTGGTGTAACACAATTGTAACACAAATGGAACACAACTGGTGTCATAGAACTGTGGGGAAAAACCCACACACATTTGGTGCCATAGTGTCTGAAGTAAAGTGTTATAGTAGAGTAGTAGTAGAGTGAAAGTAAAGGAGACACACAGGAAAGAAAGGCATAGGAGGAAAACTGAATTTTCCCAACCCAACTTTGCAGAACACATTCAGATTCAGCTGCTATCACCTAAGTAAATAATTTCTTATATCTGAGATTCAAAATTCTCATTGTAAGTTGGGGATAAAAAATAATATCTACTTCAAGGATTGTTGTAACCTTTAAGTGAGATAAAATCAGCAACTACTCAACACAATGTTGGTATGTGGTATGCACTCAATAGATAATAATTCAAAGCAATTCTACTTTGTCTTTCCTCAGTTTCTAAGAGGATGATGACTGTGCTAAACTAATTTCAAATTATATAAAATGTGTGTGCTTTCTGGGTTCTAGTGGAGTCAGAAGTTAAGGAAGCTATTAGAGATGGAATGAAGGGGTCAGGTTGGCTTAGTCCACTCCTTATCATTAATATTAGACAACTTTCACGGTAATTTCTAGTTCATGCAATGATCCTTCATGGTTGGCATTAAGAGCCTCATTTTAGCGAGGAGGAAACTGATGCTCAGTGAATTTTAAGGTCTTTCCCATGATGATAAAACAATGATGAAGATGAGGTGGGATTTGGATCCAGGTCAGTTTGGCTCCCCTGCCTATACACATGGAACCAAAAATTTCCTTTACTGATATATTTATTTCTGGGTT